GCGGGCAACGCGGGGGCACGAACAACGGGCCCTCCATGACCGCCAACATTGGATGCCAATCGTACCCGGTCGCATACATGATCGATACATCGAGCATGCATAGGCGATTCAGCCCCCATTGGAGACCCCCTGTTGCAGGCCCCTCTTCTACCCTCCAAGTAAAGCCAGGCTGTCGTGCAAATCGTGAAGAGGAATGGGGAGAGAGGGCAGCCCTGACACATTCCATGCCGGTGCTTCCTCTCTCCAGATGCAGCGCCAGGATCTGACGCAGCGAAGACGCGATTGTCGCGGGCGCTGGAAACCGCGCGCGCGGATTCCTCATGCAACCGAAATTCCGCAAAGCGCTGACCAACGACTCAGAAGACACCGCGTCGAACGCCTTCACCCAGTCAAGAGCCAAAAAGATGCTCTTACCATCGCGCCCCGCCCGCGTCTCCTCTAACGCTCGCCGCGCGATGAAAGCCGCATCGGCTGCGCCGCGTCCAAATCTGCAGCCGAATTGTGTCTGCGATATACGCTGCTTGGCCCCATGCGCCCTCCGTGCTCTGCAGCGCTGCCATGGCGATGCCCTTGTGACCGCCCGGGGGAGGGGGGGGGCTGATGGGCCTGTAGTTGTTGCAGTCTCCTGGGTCACCCTATTCGCATGCCATCTTCACTTCTGACTTATGCCGAGCCCGGGGCACATGACAATTGCCCCAATACCAGAGCGCAGAAGTGAGCGGCCCCCGTTTGAGCGGGAAACAGTCGTCGGTCGCTGTCCGCCAAAAACTGAAGAAGGATGTCGTCGGGGCCCCCCGCTTCGCCGCGCTCGAGTTTGCCGGCAGATTTCCTCGTTTCCTCATCCGCGACATCACCGAGGTCGATGGGGGAGGGCGTTTGCGTGGAGCGCGTCCGTCGGCATGCCCGTCGCCGGCCGCGCCGCCCACTGCATTTTTTCCGCCAATGAACTCGCTCTATGGTCGCTGTGTAACAGATCCGCACTCGCATTCTTCATCCTGCCTGGCAAGGGGCAAAAGCCTGTCCTGCGCTTGCGATTATGATTCCGGTCGCTGGCCTCAGTACGCCTTTCCATCCACGCGGCCCGGCCCTTCGACGCAGTTGATTGGACGATTTTGGCAAACCGCTTTTCTTCATCCATGTCGCCCCGGTGTCTGGCTGCATAGCGCCTGTCCATGAGTCCCAGGGTGGAAAGTCGCATCCAAGGCCCCCTGGCACGGGCTGGCCCCGTCGGTGGCAAGCCCGTCGATGCGCGATGGAATATGTCAACCAACTGACACCGAGCCAGATTTGCACCCCCGTGGTCAGGCGCAGAGTTTGAGAAGTCATTCAAAGACTCGGCCAACAGAGCAGTGAAGCGGTGCTGCGTAGCATTCCCCATCAAACTGCCCGATTTCTCCCGTGCCGCATTTTATCGCGCAAAACTTCTGCCCACCCCCGCATGCGGGACTCGGATGTGGAAAGACGAATTGCCCTAGCGAAGCCGCGGGTCTAAGAGAGCACTCCGGCAACTTGAAGATCGCTGGACTGTTGTACACATCCCGCGCCCTGGCGCGCCAGAGCTTAACTGCGTCGCCGAAGAGAGCAGTGCTGGGCTCGCACCTGTCGACGCGCGACAGATTTCATATTCCTTTCGCAAAGGCAGGTTCGAGGCCAAGCCGCGCCATCGAGCAGGGCACTTGGAAGTCGATTTGGGCGGGGGCAAAAGACGCGCAAGGCAGCTTGGTGTCGAACGCGCGCAGGAAGCCGCAACATGCGCACTAGAAGTAGTTCGATCCGCACGGGCATCTCGAAGGTTTCGCGCCACCAGCAAGCTCAGGGGCGCTGGCACCATGGTCGCGGAAATGCACGGTCCCCAGCTGCGCGGAGTTCCCAGGGGCGCCAAGTCTTTGCGTCGTCGTCAGATGGGGCATGTGTGCTGGTCGAACAAAAACGGGCGATGCTGTACAACGTGACTTGCCTTGCGCCGTCCTGGCAGGGATCCTGAGCATTGTCTACCTAGAGCTTGTCTCGCGCTGGATTTGCAGCAGTAGTCGGCGTTGCCTGCGACTCGTCTTGGTTTCCTGCTAAAGCCTGCCCGAAGATTCCACGTCGTCCAGGGGAAGCTCCATGGGGACAGGGGTCGCGTCTGGATCGGGGGCCAACGGGGGCCGTCACCTAATAACTTCTGGAGGCGGGGTTGTTTCCTGAAGGCCCCTGGTTTTGTTCGAAGGCACCTGCAGGCCACGAGAGGGGCCTGGGGGCCTGGGAGTATTCCCCCCTCGGAACTTTCGGGCAACGTCATCGATGGCGACCCCGGGTCGCTGTTGCAAGACTTCGTCAAGTCTCCTCAGGCTCAGCAACGGCATGATGCCAGCCGACGTGTTTGCGGAGAGCGCATGCAATTCGGAGTTGGTAGTTTGTCGATGCGCAGGCGCATTCGCTGCAGCGGGTGCGCCATGGCGCCAGCATGGGCGAGTTGATGGCGCCCATAGCTGCTGGTTGATCTTGGCCGCGGAAAAGGCAGCCATAAGAGTTCTCTGGAGGTCATGACGTTTTGTGTGCTCGTTTTCAAGCCAAACATGGATCTCAATTTCATCGGGTTTGGTCTGGGAGTGTTCGGAAAACCGTGGGGCGAACGAACACGCCTAATGTTATCATTTCGTCCGTGCCGCTCTTGCTCAGCACGCAACTGAACCCTGTTTTTTTCGCTGCGCGGTTTACTGCCCATGCCGTCGACAAATTTACCTCCGCCAACTTCATCTAAAACTTGGAATCTGTCCGGTACGATATGGGTTGAACATTTGTGGATGCTCAGGTAAGGGAACGGATGCATAACCTCTCGTGGTTGACGGGGGTGCTTCTCGATGTCAGGAGTCCGGAGATACCAAGTTCATGCGCGTAGGACTGTCCAGAACTGCTTTGGCATCGTACGATGCTCGTGTTAACCGTGCTTCATCCAAGCGTACCTTGGCAGGGGGACGTGTCGAGCGCACCTCGAGGCGGGATGCGCACAGTCTTTTCAGCACTGGAACGTGCGGCTACTCCTCTACAGTACGCCACCGACCTCGAAGCCGTCACAAGGGATTTCCAGGACAGGATGCTAGAGAGGCCCACAGGGGTCAGTGTGGATCTCTGGAGAAAACCGGTGGAATTGTCAGGGCACGTCAGGGGCAGATCTCTACCTTGTTCGTGTGTGCGCATCGCACTGGGGACCAGATGTTTGGCTCCGTCTTGTTTTGCCATCGGTGACCATTGTGTGGATGAGTTCGTCGCCCAGGCGGCAAAAGAAAGTGGGATCAGGCCCGATATTCACGCCATTAACATGGAGATCGAGCGGACGGCCTGGCTCGTTAGACACCGCCTGCTCAATGCGACCCTCGACACGCTGCAGGCTGAGGAGAATTGCGGGGCGCCCGCGAGGGTGAAGGGACCTCCTCCTCTTTCTCCTCCGCCTCCTGTTCTTTCGGTCATGCATGTTCTAGTTTCGCAGAATTTCTTGGACGAGGCCAGACAGAAGTCCGATCGCTGTTACGGGTCCACACAAAAACAACTGCATCTGATGAGCTTACCTCTGAACGTTTCCAAGAAGAGGGCCGGCTATACATTGCTGGGGGGCTGGGAGGAGGGGACCCTTAGGAGGTGTTTCTCTTATGTTTGAAGGTTTCGTTGTGTTCGGGATGTGTCTGTTTTCCTCCATCCCAGAGGAGAAATGTAACCAAGCGGCGTGCGAATATAATCCTCCTTACAGGAAGGAATATGTATCCAGATTGCTCGAGGGTATGTGGCCGATTTAGCAAGGCTGAGCAACAGCGCCTTTGTAGCTCGTTCGAAGACCAACCCGTGGGGTAGCTCGCAACTCGCAACCCATCGCTCCCTGCCTCCCCCCTTATCAGCCCTGTCTCCGTCACCGCTCCCTGGCCCCAACTACGGCGCCCCCGTCCCCCTTTACAGGCCCCCCAAGTAGCCCAAGCGGTCGCAATGCCCTAACCCTGGAGTGCGGAGCGCCACAGGGTCGCCGACGGAGGCGGCGCCAGGGTGTTGAGCCCGCCCCAGACCACTCGGGAGCCTTTTGAAGCCAGCAAGGCATACCCGGGGGGGGTTCTGAGGCCAGCCGGGACCACCTGAGGGGGCCGCCTCTGCGCAGCCCGAAGCCTTCTACCAAGGAGGGAGGACGGGGGGGAGGCCTCTCCCCGAAGAGAAAAAATAAATGCGCAGCCACACGCTGTCGGAGCAAGAAGGGCGAGAAAAGAGGAGCCCGCCGCTGCCTGCACATTTACTTGTCGCACAAACATCCAGTACCCCCGGATCGGCGGCACTGGCTAAAGGCCATTACAAGAACCGCGTAAACATACACTTTCGGAGCTCCGCGCGGGTGGCTCGGCGCCTCTTGCCCCGCTCCCTGGAGGGCGGAACGCGCCAAGGGGGGGCCCAGGCGCCGATACGAGGCCTCCGCGCGGAGCTTCGAAAGGTTGTGTCTGTGCAGCTGTCTCTGCTGCGAGGGCGGCGGCGGAGGGGTAGGCGGGAGGGCCCCTAGTCGCACTGCAGTGCCTGAGTGCACTTCTGCTTACAGATCCGACTTGATGCTGATACGTCCAATCTTTAGACGCTTCCTAGATGGGGCCCGAAAAGATAAGGTAGAAGGATCGGGCCGCATCGCCAATGCATCGGCGACGTCGGCGACGCATCCGCGACGTCGGCGTGAAGCAAATGGGGCAACACATCGAGCCGCGTCGTCAATGCATCGGCGATGCAGCGCGATCCTCCGGCCTCATCTGCTACTAAAACAATACTCCAAACATGCTCAAACAAATCACAAACAAGTCGTCCCCAGACTTTTTCCCTGTAGAGGGACGTGCCCGACGTAAGCCTCGAGACTAGAGACTAGGCCCTGCTCATCCTCCTCCTCCTCTTCCTCCTCCTCCTCTTCCTCCTCCTCCCCTCGAGCTCGGCCCTCATCGACGGCGGCGGCGCTGGACCCCGAGCCTCGAACCTCACCGGCGGCTGCGGCGGGGCGCCCGGGCCTCCCGGAGCGACCTCCACTCCTGCCGGACGAAGTCGACCCCGACGTGCACCGTGACCTCTTCTCCCGCCGCAGGGGGGGCGGGGATAGGCCTCCTACCCTGACACGTCGATTGAGGAAGTGGCCGGTTTCGCTTCGCGAGAGGGCGTCGCGGCCGCTTTGCGGGTCTAGGTCCGTCGGTGTCGGTCCTATGTAGCTCGTTTTCCCTGAAGGGAGGTTTGCTAAAGGGAGGTTTGTCCACCGCCGACGCAGGGGGGGAAGCCTCGCAACCGCGCCGCCACGGCCTGGGGAGGGAGGCGGGAATTCGAAGGCGGTTGGAGAGGCTCTCTGCCCGGAGGGTTCCAAAGGGGGGTTTTGGGGGGAGGGGGTATTCCAGGAGGGGTCAGGAGGCAGGGAACAAACCGCTGGAACCAAGGATGCCCCACCTCAGCCCTCCAGCCAGATCCAAGGAAGGATGGTGTTGATAAGGGTGGCAACGATGGTGCTGATGATGGTCACGGGGATGGTGGTGTTGGTCATGGTGGTGGTGCTGACGGTGGTAGCTATGATCATGGCGGACGAACGTGGGGAAGGACAGTGGGGATGACTGTGATGATGATCTGGATGCCTCCTGATCGCAGTCTCCTGAAATGCCTCGCCGGTAGAAAGCGCGAGGGCGCTCGGTGCCTCACGCGTCGGTTCACCCGCGAAAGCACGACCGTTGTGCTCATGCGCTGCGCGAGCGCACGAGCCGTCGTTAAAATAACAAGCCTCAATTACCTCGATATTGATTTCTTCTTCTGGTAGGCGATACTTGAAACGGTAACGCTTGAATTGGGAAGGGCACGCCGGGGCGGGGGTGCGCTGCGATCGCCATAGCATGTGTGCGAGCACCAGCATGTAAGGAAGGGTTCTGGCCCGCCCTACGTACGACCGTTACCATTACCCGGGGGTGGGGTGGGGCTGGCCCGACACGCTGGCCCCCTTAGCCGGCGAAGGCGAAGGACCTACTTGCACTAGGAAGGGAGAACACTGCATGGACATAAACTTTCGGGGGGCTGCGCGGATGTTTCTTGGATCTGCGCTGAACCCCTCCTTCCCTGGTGAGAGCCGCGCGTATATACACTAAGGTATCTGGGTCCTGTCCCATGGGGCTTCGCAGAAGCGCCACAGGACAACGTATAGTGTATAGAAGGGTGGGGGTCACAACTCTCGCAGACAAACAAATTCAGGCCCCCCAGACCAGCCATAAAAGGGCGACCCTTTGTACAGACTCCCCAGAACCCTTCAAAACAGCTAAAATCTGACCCCCTCCAAAATTAGACCACCCCCCTTTTGCTGTAAATGCCAGAATCATTTTCTGGCGGGTTCTACGGGCGACAGGAGTTGCAAAAACATGCACCGCGTCCAGGCCGCCGTTTGAAACTAAGTGGTGGGCAAGCGTAACACAGAACGGAGGACATGCTCCTAATTAAATGTTCCTGGCCCCGACCTGGCCGCGCGGATCACGCCAGGGAGCTCCAGCGCAGATCCGAGACATCTGCGCGGACCTCCGAACATTTGCGTGTGTTGAGCAGTTTGTGTGTTCGGCACCTCGGGGACCGACTTCTCCGGGGCCCGCCCACCTGGACTCCATCTTCGGGGGCAACTCAGGGGAACCTCCCGTGCCGTCGTCCAGGCTCTGGCGGGTCGACGCGGATCAACGCTAATCATGGCAAGATCAGCACTCTCCCATCGAACAACCGACGCCAGCGCGCGCTGATGGACTCCGAAGACTGACTACCTACCAGACCACCCCAACCCAACCCGAAGACCCGAATTTCGGGTTGGGGGGAGTAAGGGTTCCACATGTGTTTTTTCGATGTTTCCCGCACCCCCCCCACTGGAAATCAAGGGTAAATCTGAGCCTTCGGGTTGGGTTGGGTTGGTTTGGTGGGTGGTGAAAGACGGCACTTCGAGGGCACACAGGGCTCCCGTGATTCGCTACCGAAGGACTCCATCCTGCCGGGCCTGGCAGCCCGATGGCCCCCAAGGCCCGGAGCGAGCCTCCCTGGATGGAGGATGGAGGATGGAGGATGGAGGATGGAGGATGGAGGAGGATGGAGGATGGAGGATGGAGGAGGATGGAGGATGGAGGATGGAGGATGGAGGATGGAGGAGGATGGAGGATGGAGGATGGAGGATGGAGGGCGGCTCCTTGACCACAGGGGGCACACGCCCACGCGCAGCAGGGATCCGTCCCCTGGGTGGCCCACGCCCCGCCGCGGACCGCGCCTGGACGCCCCCCGCCGGGCCCCGGAGGCCGAGCCTCTGGGGATGCCCGAGGGCACCGATCTCTTTGGACGCCCGAAATGGGTACGGAAAGAATGGGCACTGTGCCCAACAACCAATGTTGTCCCAAACCAACAGCGGCCGCTGTTGGGCGGGCGGCCTCCTGCCTCGAACGGACACAGGCCGCGGCGGCGCGGACAGCGGACAGGCGCGGACAGGCCGCGGCGGCGCGGACAGCGCTACTCTAGGGGGAAAACAAACCTACCTCGCTTTTGACCACCCTCGCTTCCAAGAGATACCAAACGATGCCAAATGGCAGCCTGTACTGGTCAGGCCGCTTGACAAGGAGGCGCGTGGTATGGCTTGGTTTTGCCTGGAAGCGGAAGCGGGGTAGGTAATTCACGCTCTGATACTCCCCGGAACCCATCCTGGGGCCCGTTCTGACCAGAGCTTCCAGGCGAACCCAGCCGTGCCGACGAGGGCCTCCCAGGAGCCCCAACGGAAGGGGAGAACGAGGCAGCGCAGGGGTACGGGGCCCGACCACGAGAAACCTTCCACAAGTAACCCAACCCAGAGACCACAGGACGTCCATCGATTTGTGGCGTGGGAACGTCACGCTGTCCATTGCAAAGCCATCGAGACACAGGGCGCACTGGAGGCAAGCAGGGTGTGTCTTGGCATGGGCCCCCACTGCATTGGTACGGCAAGTTCGTGTCGTGACGATCTTGGCGTTGGTTTCTGACACCGCGTGGATCGTTCAACCTTGAAGAGCGATCGGCGGCTTTTCGATCGCACAATCGTTCCATGCAGGCTGATATTGGGCCACTGGCGGCGTTCAACCTGGAACGCCCGCGGCGGGGTCGTCGCCAGTCGGACACGACGCGAACCTAAAGTACCTGTTGCTCCTCTGAGACTCCCCACCCCGAGAGGCCAAGGCTGAGGAAGAACGCCCGGGTCCATGGACGGGCCTCTCCGCCTGGGGTCTTGGCCGCCTCGGCGCCGCCAGCCCCAGTCTGCTCCAGACCAGTCCGCAGGCCTTTGATGCTCGTTCTGGGGACCTTCCTTCGGCGGCGAGCTTCACGTCTTCATAGGGCAGAACAACCATCCTCATAAGAAGCACCCTGGCAAGCGAGGCCATGCAGTACACGCACCGAAGGCATTGAACAGGGCAGGGCTGCTCAGTAAACGCCCAGGGCCGTCTGATAAACGCCAATTGTGGGTGTCGCGGTGTGCTTTTCCTACATTGACATCTTTGCCTATCGTCTGCCGCTGCGCTCCCCAATGTGTTAGCCCCCGCGCCCTTCCCTCCTCTTGAGTCCAAGACGGCAGCAGGCATAAGAAGCGAGGAGGGGGACGGGGGCAGCCTAACTTAGCTTCGTCCTCGTGAATCCGAGCTTTGCTTCATTGCTCACGCCACTCGCCAGCAGTCGGACGCGCACGCGGCAGACGCAGCACAACTTCACGCCTGCACGGCGACAAGGGCCTGCCGGCGGCGCGCTCCTCCGAGGGGGGGAGAGCGCGGGGCCGAGGGGGCGGGCCCTCTCGGAGGGCTGGGAGGGCTTCGGGCCTCCCGAGGCGCTGCTCTCCTGCGCCTCCCCCGAGGGCACGGGGCAAGTTCTCGGATGGCGCACGGGCTCCTCAGAAGACGACGGGGCTTCCTCCTCCTCCTCCTCCTCCTCCTCCTCCTCCCCTCCTCCTCCCTCCTCCTCCTCCTCCTCCTCCTCCCCCTCCTCCCTCCTCCCTCCTCCCCCCTCCTCCTCCTCCTCCTCCTCCTCCTCCTCCTCCTCCTCCTCCTCCTCCTCCTCCTCCCCCATCCCTCCCTCCCCCTCCCTCCCTCCCTCCCTCCCTCCCTCCTCCTCCCTCCCTCCCTCCCTCCCTCCCTCCCTCCCATCCCTCCCTCCCTCCCTCCCTCCCTCCCTCCCTCCCTCCCCTCCCTCCCTCCTCCCTCCCTCCTCCCTCCCTCCCTCCCTCCCTCCATCCCTCCCTCCCTCCCTCCCTCCCTCCTCCCTCCCTCCTCCCTCCCTCCCCTCCTCCTCCTCCTCCCTCCTCCTCTCCTCCCCTCCTCCTCCTCCTCCTCCTCCCTCCTCTCCTCCTCCTCCTCCTCCTCCTCCTCCTCCTCCTCTCCTCCTCCTCCTCCTCCTCCCTCCTCCTCCCTCCTCCTCCTCCTCCTCCTCCTCCTCCTCCTCCTCCTCCTCCTCCTCCCCTCCTCCTCCTCCCCCTCCTCCTCCCTCCCTCCTCCTCCTCCTCCTCCTCCTCCCCCCTCCTCCCTCCTCCTCCTCCTCCTCCTCCTCCTCCTCCTCCCTCCTCCTCCTCCTCCTCCCTCCTCCTCCCTCCTCTCCTCTTCGCTTCCCACCCGGGCGCGCCGCCGAGTCCTGGAGCCTCTCGCTCCGCTCGTGCGCCGACGCTGCGCCGAACTTGCGCCGACTTGCGTCGACGAGCGAATCGGACCAGAGCCGAGCTACAATCCAACCGGAGTCGAACATCCGTTGGGTGGGCCTCCGGGACGTCCCCAAAACGAACATCTGGCCACGATGGTTGGCTGATCACCCTGATGGTCCCCGGGCCTTCAGACCGGCCAACATTGCGAACATATGCAAACGTTAGGTCGGGCATGTCCCCCTGCAGGCGGATGTTGGGCGAAAAATGGAAAAAAGAAACCCCCACACTGCTACAGAAAAGCGCAAACATTGTCAAACAAATAGTCCCCTGACTATTCTCTGCCTGTTTTTTTTTATGTTCCTCCAGTCGAGGGGCAGACCCGACTTAATGCAAACGGTACGAAAAGTATGCGCGACCCGCCCCCCTCGCAGAGGGACGCAGAGGTGCAGGAGCTCCGCGAAGCAGGAGCAACACACCCTGACAAGGCTGAAGGTGCCGTTCTCCCAGGTCTCCCCGCGGCGGCGCGCCCGCAGCGCCGGCGCAATCGCCGCCGCCGCCGCCCCCGACCCCGCCGCCACCGCCATTCGGGTGCGCCGACGAAGCGTCCTGGTCCGCCAACAGGCCCACCTTCACAGCTTCCGAAGAGCCTGCTGCGGTCTGGAAGCAGTGCTCTTGGAGTCTGTCTGGCTGCGACAGTGCTGCGTGTAAGTCAACAGTTCTCGAGTAAACGAACACAGGCTTTCCATTTAGAAAATTCGTTGGTTCTAAACACATTCCGTGGTTGGCCTACGAGAGTACCAAGCGGGCGCCACGGAACCTGGGAGGTTCCACGGGCACGGCCATGGCATCCCTCCCTGGCTACTGCACTCTGGGTCGGACAAAAAAAGGGTGGTAAGAAAAGGGCGGGTCAGCGAATCCGCTCGTGTAGTTGAGGAGGAGAAGGAGGAGGAGGAAGCGGAGGAGGAGGAGGCGAAGGAGGAGTACGAGAAGGAGGAGGAGGAGGAGGAGGAGGAGGAGGAGGAGGAGGAGACAGAAGATGCCGATGCGCCGCTCCTCCATGGAGCTCTCCCCGAATGAGTTCCGACTCGGTGTTCGTGGGGAGCCCGGCCGTGGCGACGAGGACTCTCGAGGCCGAGCGGCGGCATCTCGGCATCGCTTCCTCCCCGGAGGCGGCGCCCATGCATGGAGGAAGGCGCCCGGCGGCGGGGCCGACACTCACTCGGGTAGGGGGCCAGATGCGAGCCCTACCCCCTGCCCCCCACGAGTTCTGAGGGGCAGGGTGGGGGTCACTTCGTTCGGGAGCTCCCGAGCGAAGTGAACCCCACCCTGCCCCTCAGAAATCGTGGGGGGCAGGGGGTAGGGCTCGCATCTGGCCCCCGAATGGAGAAAGGCGCCCGGCGGCGGAGCCGACACTCACTCGGGGGACGAACGAGCACCGGGTGGACGAAAAGGCGCCCACACGGACACCACCGCTACAGTCGGCCTTGATCGGACAGGACACGCGAGAGGACACAAGACCCTTCCGAGGGCCACATTGCCATAGGAATGTAAGAAGGCACGTGTCGCGAGGCACAGGACACAAGGGTACCCTTGAGCTGGCAGGGTCGACCTACTAATCCGGGCCGGCTGTAGCCCAGGGTGATTCCAAGGCGACTCCGGCCGCAGCGACGAGGGCCTGGCAAGAGGTCCAAAAAGGCGAAAACGAGGGAGCGGTAGCGCCCAGAGACCTCAACTCTCGAGCCGACGAACCACGCTGGCACGAGGCGAAAACAGGAGAAGGTGGCGCTATCGGCACAACTCCCGTCGTCGTCTTCGCCGTCGTCTTCGCCGTCTTCGACCCGGCTGGTCGCCGTCGTCTTCGCCGAGGCTGGCCCTCATAGGGGGCGCGCGCGGAGGACCAGCCGGCGAGGCGACGGGAGGGAGGTCGGACTCCGGGCCCTGCCCACGGCGATCCATTGGCCGCGTCATGTTCGTCGCCGTCGTCGTCGTGGCCAACTTTCTCGTCGTCAAGTTTGTCTTCGTCGTCGTCGTCATCTTTGTCGTCGTCTCCATTGTCATCGTCGACATCTTCGTTAAATTCGTCTTCGTCGTCGTTATCATCATCTTTGTTATCTTCGTCGTCGTCAAATTCGTCGCCTTCGCCGTCGCCATCTACGTCATCATCCCCTTCGCCGCCATCGCCTTCAGCTTTGTTGTTAATGTGTCGTCGTCGTCGTCGTCGTCGTCGTTCGTTGTCGCCATCGTCGTCATCTTCGTAATCTTTGTCGTCGTCGTCGACGCCAACAGATCCTGCAACTCGCTGCGCGAGAACCTTAACTCCCGTGCAAGCGTTGTGGTCGGTCGCCTGGTTGCCGAGCCGTCGGCAGCGAGTGAGGCGGCCGTCTCTCACATCTGCGTCCGAGCAGTGTGACACACGCTTGCACTTGCACACTTCGAGGAGAAAACAGCATTATAATCATATGTAAACTGTCGGAGGGCCGCGCAAGGAGCTTCTCGCTGGCGCGCGGAGCGCGCGAAGGGTGGCGCCGCAAGCGCCGCCAGAAAGTCCAACGCAGTTCCAAGACATCCGCGTAGACCTACGGGAAGGCATGTTTCTTCAGTTTTTGTTCCTCTAGCACTGTCGTTTCCTCCAGCTTGTGGTGCACTTGCGCAGAACAATTGGCCCTCGAATTGTCAGGCCCTGCCGCTGAGTTGGGATCTCTCGCACAGGAGCCAGTGCCCGCGCAGTCGATGTGGAGCTGGCAGCCGTCTGGCAACCTAGCATTCAGCGGAAGCTTCGGTGATCCTCAGAACGCGTCTTGGCGCCAACGTGTGCTTGTCCACCGAGGCCCTTCGATACAACAAAGGCGGTGTCGATGATGGCTCGCACGGGCTGCGTGTTATCGGCAGAGCTGAGCGGGGCAAACACACATTGGATGATCACACGTCCTGAGGGTCATCGAAAGCTGGAGGACCGCGAAGTGTTTTCCATCCCTTGCGGCCTGGATGGGGTGCCTCCGAAAAGGTACCACACCCAAGTGCCGAGGATTGAAAAAATGGTGATGATGATGACGACGATGATGACGCTGATGATGCTGATGAGGAGGATGAGGATCAGGACGATGCTGATAAAGATGATGTTGATGCTGATGATGATGATGATGATGATGATGAGGATTTTTGTAAGACCTGGCCTGCGGCGCTGGTCCCCCAGGCTGGGGGCAGTGCGAAGGGCGAGAGCGGCGCGCAAACGGCGCGCAACTCAGCCCAGCGCCTCCTTCTTCTTGCGGTTCCAGTCCCGCGCGAACTTGCTCGTGCCCGGCTGGAGCCCCTTCTTGATCTGCGACAGGTTCTGCTTGCCCATCTGCTTCAGCTCCCCGCACTCCATCGCGAGTGAACGCATGTTCTCCCGTGCGATGCACCCGCACTTGAGGCAGTAGTGCAGTCCGAGCTCCTCGTTGTAGTTCAGCTGGTGGGAAGGGCGCGCCCTCTGGTGGCCGACCTGCACCCCCAGGGACGAGGCGCCGAACTCCGACGCCTGCTCGCGCACCAACTTCACGCACTTGCCCTCCAGCCACTTGTCTGTGTCCGCGCCAACGACAGGCACCAGGCTCCCGCACCGCGTGCAGCGGAACTGCTTGCCGCCGTTGACTTCCTCGATCACGTGCTGCGTGTTGGTGAGGCGCTCCTTCCTCCTCTGCTTCTTGAGGTACGCCTCGTGGCGTTGTGGTCTGCTTGGCGCCATCGACGGCTCCACTTCGATCGCCGCCATCAGAGTCGCGCATCCCCTGCTCCTGATCAGCGAGGCGATCCCGTCACACCAGCCGACCCTGAGTGCGTCTCCGCGCGCCACCTGCACCCGCTCGATGATGCCATCCACGAAGCTGTCCGCTAACGAGTTGCCCAGGTAGCTGATCGGGTCGATACCTGCCGCCACAGCTTCGACCGCGGACATGTGGCTCTCGACCTTGATCATCCACAGCTCTCTACCGACCATGGCCACCTTCAGCTCGTTCCATAAGTCGATGTGAGTTTTGGGCATCTTCCCTCTGCGTAACTTCTCGACCCCGCGCATGACGTAGGACGAGTCCGCAATGTACTGCACTCTCTTGTAGTTGGCGGTGGCCACCATCAGCTCCTTCAGCGCCGTCAGCTCGCCGCGGTTGACGCTCTGCCGCCAGCCGCCTAGAGCGGCACGCGCTCCTGCCACCACCATCGGCTCGTTCACGTTCTCTGGCTGCATCACAACCCAGCCCCATGCCACCCGCCTCAGCCTGGGGTCCATGGTATACTCGCCGCCCGATGCGTCGCCTGCCGCAATGAGCCAGCCTCCGTCGTCCACAGGGTTGGCCTCCCCCAGGTCGGTACTCCCTGCCCTCCATTGCCAAACGGGCTGGGAGGGTGGGCGGTGCGTGCCTGAGGGGGCAGTGACCCTGAGACGCTCCAGGTTGCCGAACTGCTCCCACAACTCTGTCCCTGGCTCAGGCGGGGGTGGGATCTGCGTCCAGCTCTTCGGCAAAATGCCTCTGAGCCACAGGCACGGCACCTCCTCGACGCCCCTCACGGCCTTCTCCTCCAGGTGCTTGGGCTTCTGGCACTCCTCGATCAGCTCGTTACACTTGCATTCCCACATGCGGTGCTGCCAGGTTTCTGGTGCTTCACCACAACGCGGGCAAGTGACATCCTCGATCTCCAGCCCGAGATCAGCCACACGCTGCCTCGGCCAGACTCCACCCGTCAAGCACGCCAAATGCGCGCCGACCTTGTCGTGCTCGCCCTTCCTCTTAAGCTTCTTGATGAGCGACCTCGCTGAGCGCATGTCCGCGCCCGCCTCCATGCCGCCTCCTGCGTAGTGCTTGGCCGCCTGTTGCCACTGCTTCCTCTCGATAGTACTGGCGATCGCCTGCTTCAAGTCGCTGGTGTCCACGCCGCCGTCGAGCGCCGAGGGGTCGTCGCTGCCGAACTCCTCGCCGTCGTCTGAGACCCAGTGCCACGGCCCCAGCATGGGCCAGCCCAAGTCCAGCAGGGTGTTGACCATCGCCCTGGTGATGCCCGCCACACCCTTCCAGCGCTTCTTCGGGTCCAGCTTCGGCACCTTCTCGACGATCCGCGGCCAGATGATGCTGACCTTCTGCCGCCTCAACTTGTCGCTGATGATGTGCATCCACGAGTCCAGCAGCGCGAAAACGGCTCCGAACGCGGGGTCACCCTTCGCGATCTCGATACTGAGCAGCGTCGTGAGGCACCTCCCCCGCAGCTTCGGGGCGATGGTCGCTGCTAGCCTCCTCCTCCACTTCAGCACGGTGCTGGGTGCCATCCCGAACACTTTGCACGAGTAGGCGGCGCGCGGCAAGGACCCGCGCTGCACCACTGCACGTGCGCCGCCTCTGGCGCGCCTGCCACTGCGCGCCATCTTCAGGGCGCGCGCTACTTGTCTGTCTGCGTGCGCCACCCTCCTCGCGTGCTTGCCCTTGCCGCCCGCGATGCTGCGGCCTCGGTCGATGCCCAAGTCGGGCGCTTGACTCCTTAC